AAAAAAATGAGACTTATTTTGCAATAAAATAAGTATTATTTTCTCAACTACTTTTTTTAAAATATCTTTTACAGTAAAATTAACTTCTCAACAAAAGCGGCCAAAGTTTACAATGAAAAATAAATCATATTTATTTTTCCTATAACTCCTCCTTGCTCCTCCCAAAATTCTAAAATGAGGTTTTTAAACTAAAATTTAAGTTATCAATTGTTAAAATATTTTTGAAAACGACAAGACTAGGCTCTATATATACGTGGGAGATCATACATTTGGGCACCCACAATCTCTTTTCATTTATCCAGTCTCCTCCGTTTGTGTTTGCCAGAAGCCCTTCATAGATTCTATCCGGTCTTTCAGCACCCGTTTCGAACTTCCAACAAGTAAGCTTCTGCAATATTCCTTAAACAAAAGCATCAATTGTTGTCTCGCTACCATACGATCATCAAGTGGTTTGTTTAGTTTCTTAATCGACAAAGCAAATTAATTAATTTTTTTTTAAAACGGTAAAGAGATAATTTTATTAATTAGTAGCATGTAAGGGATACCCTATTAAGAAATTTTTGAGGTTAAAATCTATACCTTTCTTTCTTCAGGGGATGGCGGAAGTCTCTCAGTCAGCTGAAATTGAAACAAGTTGCGATGTATCAATTGCTATACAAAACGACCCTACAAGCATGGAGCAGGGGACAATGCCAGAGCAGAAAATCCTTAAAGTGCCTCACCAACTACTTAAGGTAAATAAAAATGCCTATGAACCTTATTTCATTTTTACCCTCATTTTCCAACAGTTTATATAGTTTCTTAATTGGCAAAGTAAATTAATTAATTAATTTTTTTATTTTAAAACGGCAAAGAGATAGTTTTATTATACCACATTACGAGATAAATTGAGGTTGAATCTATAACTTTCTTTCTTCAGGAGATGGTGGAAGTTTCTCAGTTAACTGAAACTGACACAAGTGGCCAAGTATCAATTGCTATACAAAACGACCGCCCAAGCTTAGAGCAGAACCTGATTTTGGCTTGGCCTAGCCAGAAAATCCTCAAAGTGCCTCGCCAATTACTCGAGGTAAATAGAAAAGCCTATGAACCTTATGTCATTTCTATCGGTCCATACCATCGGTGTAAAGATCACTTGAAGGAAATGGAAGAACAAAAGGTGCCTTCTTTAAAAAGGCTTCTTCAATCGACAAATCAAAGTGTCGAAATATATCTATCAGCCATAGGAGATATGGTGAAAGAAGCTCGCAATTGTTATTCAGGACCTTTAGATATTTCCGAGGAAGAATTTATAGAAATGATGGTCCTTGATGGATGTTTTATTATTCTGTTTTTTACGGGGATGTTGGGAGATTCTTTCTGCTGCAATGGCCTCATCTATTCAAGCATTTTGCATGATTTGGTTCTAGTTGAGAATCAACTTCCCTTTTTTGTACTATACAAGTTATTTGACATGATCCCAAAAACGTTCTTCAACTTGGTGGGTTCTACAGATCCAAAAAACTGGTTTATCCATCAGTTACTTGAAAAGTTTGAAGATAGAATGCCAGGGCTCAGGGTTAACACAACCTATGATGACAGTTCAATGAAAAATGTTAAGCATATAGTACACTTATTACACTCCAATTGGCTTCCTTCAAACGAGGCAATGGATGAATACAATCATCACCCAAAAGATGGGAAGTGGCGTCTCATACGTTCTGCTACAGAACTAAGAGAGGCAGGAATTGAGTTTAAAAGGCTTGAGACAGGAAGGGATGCGAGAAAGAGCTTATTTGATATCAAGTTCTACAACAAGATACTAGCGATTCCAACTGTGACTATTGACGTTGACACGGAAAGTTTGCTTCGTAACCTTATTGTCTTTGAACAGTATGACAATAAGCATCCACTATTCTTAACTGCTTATATTGCTCTCATGGATCCCCTAATCAATTCAGTGAAGGATGTGGAGTTACTTTGTAAGAGTGGGATAATTGATAATTTGTTAGGCAATGATGAATCAGTTGCGGCCTTGTTCAACGGGTTCGGAAATCATATTTCTTTCTCCAGACAAGATTTCTTTTATGCCCAGTTATTTAAGGACATCAACCGTTATTATGGAACACCTTGGAGTAAATGGACGGCAAACTTAAGGCACAAATATTTCAAGACCCCATCGGCTTTTGTCTCCTTTCTTGCTGCAACTTTGTTGCTTCTACTTACATTGCTACAAACTGCATTTACAATCTTCCCTCGGCCTTGAAATTTCATAGTGCGAGAGATCCAAGATCAAATGGTATGACCAAAATGTGTGAGAAACGCAAGTGTTACATAGACTAGTAGAAAGGTTTTGCTACATTTTGTTTTCTGTAATTACTGTATTGTATTGTACTGTATCTTGCTTTTTAAGGTTTGTTTTGTTGGGTTTCTTTAACCTTGTAAGTTATTGTATTGTATTGTATTGTATTGTATTGTATTGTACCGTACCTTATTTTCTTTGGATACATTTTGTTGGGTTTCTTTAAGCTTGTAAGTTACTGTATTGTATTGTATTGTCTTGTACCGTACCCTATTTTCTTTAGGGACCATGATTGGTGCACACCCGGATTCAACACCCGAGTGTGCACCCTCCACATAAAAAAAAAAAAATGGACCGGGTGTTCTCCATTTTTTTTTTTTTTATGCGAAGTGTGCATATCCGGGTGTTGAATTCAGGTGTACACACATCGTTTTTCATATAAATATCAAGTTAAATTCTGAAAATATTGAAGGGATTAATAGTTGTTTAAAATTTTCATTTGTAATCGCCTTTTTTTTATGTGTTTTTAAGTCTAACAATATTTTGTTGAACAACAGAAAGTTTTTGAGA